CTTTTCCCTTGCTCCTCTCAAGTTGTTTCCTCCCTCTTCAAAAATTGACCAGCGTTCGTGATTATTCACCAAGTGAACCGAATCTTCTTCCCTTTCGATTAAACATATTTTCTTCAATTGCAAATCTTCTTTAACATTAATCGGTTTGTCACAGTCGAAAGTTCAGTGTGTTACAATGGAAGTCGAACGACGCTGGGCTGGAGAAAAAATAGAAATCGGTTTTCGTGGTTCACAGAGCCCCGTAACCATTGGTCTCCAGCGATCGGTGATCGTTAGAAATGGAAAGCAGCAGGATTTCCACTTGTCACGACAGAGGGATCTGTTCCGAATTTCACCGTAGTCGCTTGCTCCGAGTATCCTCGATTTCATGGCCGATATCGCTTCGACAATCGGCCATTTTAGTCGCAAAATTAAAATATCATTAATATCTTTAAAATCCAACTCGACGTTAAGTAATACAAAATTTCAGGCGAATTTTGTTATCCAAGAAAAGTGAAACTTCGTGATCTTTTCGTTTTCACTCAATTCTAAGCTTTAAATTTAGGTTCATGTGAGGATTTGATTACTTTAATGTTGAAATAATATTCAAATATTTGTCATTTCTTAAACTTCAACTCAATGCCAACTAATTCAGAGTTCTACAATCATTTTTTATCTCAGAAATCTCAAACTTCGTGAATGTTCAATATTCGATCAATTCCAAACTTTAAATTCTAATTTTTATGCAAATTTGATTACTTCAATTTTGAGATAATATCGAAATTTTGCGTTTAGAATATAAATCGACTTAGTTTGAAATTTTCAATTTAAGGATCCGTCATATTCAAATACCGAATGCTTTATATTTGCGCTTCGATCAATTGGATGCATCCTCATGATCAAGTCGATCGTACCATCTCAGATAATCTTTTAAAAACAAAATTTCTCGAATTCCAGATAAGCGGTTAGTCACGCTCGAGTGCAGATAAGTAGCTTTTTATCTGGTAACTAGATAAATGTTTATTTACCGTACGTTACGAAACTATCAGCCGGGGAACTTTAGCGAATTTCTCGGTATATTACTCGTTGAAGAGCTGTGCACCTAACGTCACCGGATAATCTCACTCGAACTTGAAATTCCTTTTAAATACAAACTTGGGACTGTGTCAAAATATAAAGTCAATTACAAATTCATATTAAAAAAATGCAAATTCACAATTCGACCATGAATTTAAATTTAAAAAATTCGTATTCACAATCGAACCACGAATGAAATTTAAAAAATCCATATTCAAATCTCAATCGCGAATTAAAATTGAAAAACACGAGCTCAAAATTTAACCATAAATTTAAATTTCAAAGTTCAGTCGTGAATTTACATTTAAACATTCACAATCCCAAAATTCTGCCATAAATTTAAATATAAAAATTCACTCGTGACTTTAAATTTGAAAAATTCAAACTCAACATCCAGCCATAAATTGAAATTAGAAAATTCACTCGTGAATTGAAATTTGAAAAATTCAAACTCAACATCCAGCCATAAATTGAAATTAGAAAATTCACTCGTGAGTTTAAATTTGAGAAATTCAAACTCAACATCCAGCCATAAATTGAAATTAGAAAATTCACTCGTGAATTGAAATTTGAAAAATTCAAACTCAACATCCAGCCATAAATTGAAATTAGAAAATTCACTCGTGAGTTTAAATTTGAGAAATACAAACTCAACATGCACCCATAAATTAAAATTTAAATATTGCAATTTAAAGTTCAGTCGCAAAGGTAAATTAAAAAATTCAGCCATAAATACAAATTGAAAATTGAATTTTAAAAATTCAAACGTACATTCATATCTCTACTTTCAAACTCAAACACCTGACACACAGAACAGCTCATCAACCTGTAATTCCTATCAAAACTTCAATCTCCAGGTAAAAACTTCAAACTCAGCGTTTCATTTCTCAAATGATCCTACCACCGCCACTATATACACGTATAATCGCGGGCCGTCAACCTTTCGTACACAAAACCCTCTCCGCCACTTGCCCGCTGAATTTCACGAAGCAAAGGTACCCCGGTTAGGAGCCACGTGACTCGTTAGTGTCACGAAGCGAAAAACGAGTCGAGGAGGAGGAGGAGGAGGAGGTCGGTCGGTGCGGTCGCGTTCGTAAATCATTCGTGTCGAATTTATTCGCGCGCTTAAGCGCGAACCGGCCACGCTAAACGTGGACGCAGACCGCAAGTTAAGTCGGAGTTAAACGGCCGAAAACCCGTTTCGTCCGCGTGATTTACGCGCATGAATCAAGTCACCTGGCTGGCGTTTGTCAGCGGCGAGCCACGCGTGAGACCGGCTTTTAATCGGCCTCGCACCTGTTCTCCTCTCATCTCTACCACACTCTCTACGCTTTCAACTTCGACGACCTGCCTTTATGCACGCAATTTGCCTCCTTCCTTCTCTTTTTGCTCTTTTGGGTTTGCTTTACACGTGTAAGATGGTTTTTCTTCATTTTATCGGGCGTGTGAGATTCTGGGAATTTTCTTTCCCACTTTTCACCGTTTTTCTCTATTTTCTATTTTGAATTTTCTCTTTCTTTTTGTCAGCACTTAATTTGTGTAAGATTTTGGGAATTTTCTTTCCCACTTTTCACCGTTTTTCTCTCTCTTCTTTTTCCCCCAATTTCTCATTTATCTTTTTGTCAATCTTTGGATTTTTATGTGCTTAATTTGTCTGTGATTTTGGGAATTTTCTTTTCGCTGTTTTTCTTCTCTTTTGAATCTTCTTTTTTCCAATTTCTCGTCTTTCTTTTTGTCAATCTTTGCGTTTATTTTACTTGCGAAATTTGCCGGAGATTTTGGGAATTTTCTTTCCCACTTTCCACTGTTTTTCTTCCTCCCTTTTTCACAATTTTCGTGACGAGAACGACGAGATCAGGCTTAATGGGATTTTATCGTTAAAAATTGTTATTACACGGTACGTTTTCGATGTCGTGTTTTCCCGATGATTTTTATCTTATCTACGTTCGTTTCATTCAGGAAAAAATTGAAGTTAAGATTGAACTTGGTATTTTTACCAGTGAATTTTTGAAGCTGCGACTCTTTTTTTCCACTGAATTCTTGGAACTGATATGAAATTCTGTCTCTCCTGATTTCTGTTCAATTGAATTTTTATCTTTTCTCAAATTTTCTTCCTCACTTCTTCCCAATTTGTATCTCTCATCTTTCACTCTTTTCTGTCTTTTCGAGTTCCCTTTGTTCTCCAATTTTGCTCCTTTCTTTTCCCTAATTTCTCATTTTTTAAATTTCTCTTCAATTTTCATCTCTTCTCAAATTTTCTTTCCCACTTTTCACACTCCATTTTGGTCACCTTCGTTCTCCAATATTTCTTCCCTCTTTTCCCTAATTTCTACGTTATCCCTTTCATCTCTCTCCAATTTTTAAAATTTCTCTTCAATTTTCATCTCTTCTCAAATTTTCTTTCCCACTTTTCACACTCCATTTTGGTCACCTTCGTTCTCCAATATTTCTTCCCTCTTGTCCCTAATTTCTACGTTGTCTCTTTCATCTCTCTCCAATTTTTACCTCTTCCCAAATTTTCTTTCTCCCTTTCCACTCTTTATCTCTCTCTGTTTTAACTCCCATTGTTCTTCCTCCTTACAAAAATCAACCAGAGGTCGTAGTCTCTTTCATCTCTCTCCAATTTTTACCTCTTCCCAAATTTTCTTTCTCCCTTTCCACTATTTATCTCTCTCTGTTTTAACTCCCATTGTTCTTCCTCCTTACAAAAATCAACCAGAGGTCGTAATTAAGGAGCGACACGAGGAAACGGCGTGGTTAAAAAAATGTTCGTTCGCGTGAGAGCTCCCGACAATGATCTTAAGGTCGACTGACCAGCGGATCGTCGATAACGGGCCAAGATGTTTTGTCTGCTTCCTGCTGCGCCTCGATAATGCGGATCGACGCAACCGCGACACTGTCAATACCGCTTAATCTAGCTTCTTGTAGGATGAAAAGAACGCTCGGCGCGGAGATAAAGCCGGACAAGCAAGATCACGTACGTTTGCACTGTGGCGATTTTTTTTTTCTTCTTTCCTCGAACGTTGCGATGTTTCATCACGTTTCATCCGTGTATCACAGTGTCACGAAGGTGTCGATTTTTTCCCCCGTGATCGCAATCTCGATCGATCGATCGGAACACCTGCGACATTCGTCCTCTTCCATTATCTTCGTTCTAAACCTGTAAAATCGATCGTTTTTTTAATTCCTTTCCATTCTTCATCTATTTTATCTTCCTTCGTTCTTTTAACTCTTCCGAAACAGACGTATTCTCTCTTAACTTTCTCATTTCAGAACGAATAATCTAGAATTATTTTACATTTTTATTTCGTGAAAATTAGAGGTGAAGTAAAATTGTCTGTGTCGTAGGATTAAAACGTTTTCAAAGGATAGATAAATTTTTCTACCGCGTTAAGAATCATTTGCTTTTGATATAAAAGAACAATACTATCCGAGAATTATCGTAAATCATGTTATTTTCGACGCGATATCGTTCTCGGAAGCTTGCTCCAGTGGTAGTAACCTCCAGCTGGATCGAAAATTCTCGTAAATAAGAACGACTGCGGTTCCTATCGTTGGTTGATAAAGTGTCATTGTCCCAGCTTCGAGGCGTTCCTTTGCGGTCGTCTATCAGCTTCCGGAAGACGCACGGATTTCTCGGTGACTCGATCGTGTCGCTGTGGCGTCGGTACAATTAAAAAAATTTACAAACAATAAGCCATTATTGGTAGCAGTGAGATCGACTGGTTGCTTACTTGCTGCTATTTTAACGACCTTTTACACCTATACACTCGATGCTTCCATAATAAAGGAGTATTTTTCAGGAAAGTACAAAGAAGAATGAAAAAGAAGTAGAATTATTATTAATTCTCTGTTCCTTATTTTGTGTCAAAGAGGAAAACTACATTTTTCTGTGCCTCCAAAATGAAGTTTATCTAACAAAATATTCCCCTTTTCTGTTTCAGTTACTGTTAAGAGTGGCCCTGATCAGGGACACGAGAACGAAGCGCAAGCCGATGCTGCATCGTCACCATCGAGTGTAAGTTTACAATTCTATTAAACTTTCTCACCAAAGAAATAATAATTCCCATCTCCTCTCCATTTTCTTCTTTACCAATCGTTATACCAAATATAAGCTACCCATACGCAAGGTGTATAATAAATCTGAAACAAAGAGAAAAAGAGTAACTAAAATAAAATAGCAGCCCATCAAACTACTTAATGCCACATTACGCTAAATACCAGGACACTTTTACATACGTCAAATATAGAACAAATTGCACGGTAATAGGCGATAAGGCTGCAATTAACTTTAACACCTCTTCTTCTTCCTCCAGGTCGAGTTACCGGAAAGCGCTCACCCCTGCCCTGCCTGCCCCACCGTTTTACCCACGTCCCGCGAGTTGACGAACCACCTGCGTGGCCATAACTCGCCCCGCAGCACCGACTGCAGCGGCGAGGATGACTACTGCTGCGGCGTGTGCAACAAGGTGCTCAGCTCCTCGAGTTCTCTGGACAGGCACGCGTTGGTGCACTCCGGGGAACGTCCGTTCAAGTGCAAATACTGCGAGATGACGTTCACCACCAACGGGAACATGAACAGGCATCTGAGAACCGCTCACAGAGGTGTCTCTCCTCACAGCTGCACCGACTCCGAGGGCAGCAGCGACTCGGAGAAACCGTCGAAGAGGCGGCACATCGAGGAGTACAACAACAACGACATCACCAAGAGGAACTCGCCGGACTTCATCGAGAGACGCGAGGAGAAATCACCGACGTTATCTGGAAAGAGAAAGTGTACAGATTATCTGAGCGATAACGAGGGTCAGAAGAGGCATAAGATACTGTTGAACAACTCGAGAACGGAGATCAAGTCCCGGCCGGACGACAGTCAGAACGTGTACAATTGTCCGGTCTGCGGGAGACAGGATTTCGCTACCAGTGCACTTCTCGAGGCTCATCTCGAACGTAGCCATCCGGAATTCCCGGCCAAGTGCGATGCCTGCAATTTGTCGTTCAAGAATCACAGAGTGTTGAACCTGCATAGATTCATGATACATTTCGCGGAACATTCGATAGGAAACACTGCTAGGAACCTGAGAAACTCGGTGGTAGGCTTCAACGACTTGACCTTCGTGGATTTCTCCTCGGACAAGTTCCCGGCGATAGCCAGAGCTGTTTGCGAGCAATCGTTGCACAGACCAGCCTCCGGCGAGGTAGCCAAGTTCCAGTGTTCCAAGTGTTTGAGAGCATTCCCGTGTAGATCAGCGTTGGACGCTCACGAGACCGACTGTGGAACGACGAGCTTGCAGACCAGGACCAGCGACGACAGTCAATCTAGAAGAGACGATTTCTTCGCTGGCCTGGATCTTCAGAACAAAGCTGCTCTCACGGAGGCGAAAGAAGGCAAGGATCTGGCTGACATTCAGAGCATCATATCCGTCACTTCTGGTCCGATATTGCAGAACTTCCCTCGGTCTGATGCTAGTACACCTGAAAACAACATCAAGTTCAATCCCAGCGTTAGTTCATCCGGTTCTTCAGGAACGTTCTCCTCCGAGTACCACGAAGAGGAAGCTCAAGACGCGTTCGCTGCTGAGTTCAGGAAGATGAAGCTGAAAGGGGAGTTCCCATGCAGACTGTGCTCCGCGATATTCCCCAATCTGAGAGCCTTGAAGGGCCACAACAGGGCGCACATGGGCGTAGGGCCTGGAATGCCTTATCCTTGCAACATGTGTCCTTACACCAGCACCGATAAAGCCACTTTGGTCAGGCATCTCAGATCACACAACGGAGACAGACCTTACGAGTGCTCCCTGTGCAATTACGCCTTCACCACTAAAGCAAACTGTGAACGTCACGTGAGAAACAGACATGGGAAATTGACGAGGGAAGATATCAAGAGTGTACTGATCTACCATCCTAACGAGGACTCCACAAACGAGAACGTGGAAAGGAGTTCTCCTAGAGTGGTGAAGGACGACGTGAGGAAGAGCCTGGTTTATCCGTCGGAGCGTGACGATCTTCAGCATCAGGCGCAGATGCACTATCCGTCTGTGCCTATGGAGGTTAGAGGCGAGATCAGGATAATCGAGGAGGCGAAGCTACACAATTCGGCGATGTCGATGCACAATGTGAGCCATTTCGAGAAGAGCGACTCGTTCTCGAGACCTGGCCAGCCTATGGAGCTTATGCAACGCGGTGGAGAGGAGGGTAAGGATACCAAGTCGGACTATTCGAAGCTGGACGAGGACCTGGAGTCGAGGTCGTCAGAGGGCAGCGTGTCTCTAGTCAGTGATACCAAATCAGATTCGCACCAAAGAATACAAGCTAGTCCGATGAACTTGAAGAAGGGGCTGGCCGTGTCTGAGAACATTACCGAGGACGGGCCATTGGATCTCTCTATGGACGTGTTGGATCTCAGCAAGAAGTCTAAGGAAAAGGAGGACAATGAGTTCTCCGCATCGCATGAACAGTTTGGAAAGAGTCAGAAGGATTTGTACAACACTACCAGCCAGTTGTTGTTGACCGAGGCTCTGTTGAAGGCTGGCCAGGGTAGCTCGCAAGCTACCTCACTGGAAGCTCTGTACGCTAATGCTATCTACAGGAACTTTGGCACGTTTCCAGGCAGCGTTGGAGCTGGGATCTTACCACCTTACATGTTCAATCCTCATGTATTCGGTCAGGACTTCTCCATGAAGGAAAGATTGCAGAAAGAGCTGGTTAGAGGTCTGCAGTTGACCAGCGGAGGGACTTTGGTAGAACCAACCATTGGTGGAACTGGATTCACCTTCTCCCAGGGTAGAGACTTGAATTCTCAGTCTGGGAACGAGCAGAACGATTACGCCAAGCTGATCTCGTCGAAAATGGCTAGTAAAGGTTTGTCTAGCCGTGACAAACAGGATACCTTGCCGTCCTCGAACTCTGTGAAGATGGTGATCAAGAATGGAGTACTGATGCCTAAGCAGAAGCAAAGGAGATACAGAACGGAGAGACCGTTCACCTGTGAGCATTGTTCGGCGAGATTCACCCTAAGGAGCAACATGGAGAGACATATTAAGCAGCAACATCCTCAGTATTGGAGTCAGAGGCCTAGAGGAGGGCATTCGACGAGAGGAAGACCACCTTCCAGTCATCCTACGTTGCTGCAGAACCTTGGACAGCCTGCTTCTCAAGTCTCTCAGTCGTACACTAACATTCTGCCAAAGGTTGAACAGTCGGTGAACTCCGAGTTCACTAAACACCCTATATCTGACCAAGTGAAGTACGCCATCTTGGCTCAACAGTTGAAAGCCAACAAAGTGGAAGATAATGATTCTGAAGAGGAGTTGGTGATCGACGAGGATCCACAGGAGAAAGAGAATCAGGAATCTCAGGAGCAGAAGGAGAAAAGTCTGTTGAGAGGGCAATTGGAGGGTACAGAATCTAGCAAAGAGAGTACTGTGAAAGAAGAAGCGAAAGAGTCCGCTAAAGAAGCTTCTGAGGAGGCCAATGCTGAGTCTGCGAAAGAGGAGGATGATCCAGCTGAAGAGGCAAAGTCATCTGACACAGAGAAGGCCGATGAATCAGAGAAGTCAATAGACAAGACTCCTAGCAGAGTGTTCAAGTCTGAACCTGATGATGTGAAGGATGAGAAGATGGAGGATGGAGCAACAGACTTGGCAAGTGTGTCAGAATTACTGGACAATGCTTCTCAGCAGTATCAGCAATTTCAGCCTCAGTATCTGAGTGATGAAGAAGGTTTAGTCGCCTCTCATAGTGACTGCAATAATTCCGGCAGCGACGAGAAGAGCGACTCTGTGAATTCTATAAACTCGGTGAACACCTCGTCGAAGAAGAAGAAGAAAAAGAAGAAGAAGAAGAAAAAGAAGTCTGCTTATTCGATGGCGCCTAACCGTGTGATCTGTCCCTACTGTCAACGGCCATTTCCTTGGACCTCCTCTCTCAGAAGACACATCCTCACGCACACAGGACAGAAACCCTACCAGTGTATCCATTGCTCCTTGCTGTTCACCACAAAGTCAAACTGCGACCGTCACTTGCTGAGGAAGCACAAGGCGAATCCAAATAAGATGCGTCGCGTGAGGAACTCTTCCTCTCCGGATTCTCAAGCAGTGATCAACAACAATAACTCCTTCTCCATGAGGAACGTTCCCGAGAGACCGTACAAGTGCAACCAATGCCCTAGTTCAACCTTCTCCACTCTGGGTAACCTGAAAAAGCATCGTTCCGTTAAACATCGTAAGATGAAGTCTAGATCGGACACTCCGTCCAGCGAGCCTCAGAACAGCCCTCAGGAGTGCTCGAAGCAGAATAACGAACAAAGTGATTACGACAGTCAGTCGTCTAGTGTGTCTGAAAGCATGGAAACCTCCTCGGTGGCGGGAATTCCGAAATCCAACTCGAACACCTCACCGTCGACAAATGACACACCAAGGTCGAGGAGACCCTCGCCGAGATCATCACCTGGACCCAGCGACGTGCCGTTCAAGTGTCATTTGTGCGACTGTGGGTTCGCGGAGAGACAGGATTGCTTGGAGCACATCAGGGTGAATCATAAAAGGTCCTATGAAATGTTGGTGACCAAAGGAGCGTTGGACATGGACATCGACACCGTGGAGGATCAGCAACAACCACCGCCACAACAGCATGCTAGCGACGGAGAGGAAAAGAGAGGTCGTTTTCCGGACTATAGTAACAGAAAGGTAAGAGGTGTTACGTTATTATTCTTTTTCGTATAGGGACATTTGCAGAATCTGTAAATGAGTTTTAGAACACAGTTGGTAGAATAAATGTAAGGAGATATGTCGCGAGAAATATATCTGTAGTTTCATTCACGCTGTTCGCGTTACCAAAAGTCTATCACGAACGGTGTTGTTCTGTAACAGATGAGTGATTAACGAAGCGAGTCCGAGCAGCAACTAAAACAGCCGACATTTCCAGGTGGTCTGTGCATTCTGCATGAGACGGTTCTGGTCCGCGGAGGATCTACGTCGTCACATGAGAACACACACAGGCGAACGGCCGTTTTCATGTGACATCTGCTGCCGGAGGTTCACACTGAAGCACAGCATGCTGCGGCATAGAAAGAAGCATGAATCCATTGACTCTACGATGTACGTTGGCACCAGTGGCGACGAGGAAAATTCACCTACCCAACCGCCTACGATCACGCCGCGAAGCCAACAACAACCGCCAGTCCTGGTGGCGGCGAACAGCGGTAATCCCCGTATGCAAGACAGAATCTCTTTACCGACCGTCGCTCCAGTCGCGACTGGTGACGCAGCGCCGAGTGTACTCATGAGATTCAATCCTTACGAGAAGTTAACCACGCTCACGGGGAAGCTCGCGAGTATTCCGCAGAACGTGAATCCAGACGTGAGCGAGAGCACGGATAACGACCTGATTTCTAACCTCTTGGGCATAAGGGACAAGAGCTTCATTGACCGAGTACTACAGGCATCCGCTGACGACGCTGCCAAGCTTCTAGGAGTGAAACGCAACCATGAGTGAAATAGATTCACGCTGTTGTTCTTGGACATTTCACGATCGTGCCTTAAGTTCCTCCCCTCTTTGTGTGTGTCGAGGTTAACCAAGTTGGGATGACGTTTTTATGATGAAAGGTAATATGTCTGTAAGTACTTGAAAGGGAACGAGTTGTGGTTTAGAATTGCTAGGTTTGATCTTGATTGGATCTTCGTGTCGATAGTCAAGTTTGTCGAAGAATTACTGTACAAGTTCATCAATGAATGTTCATTGTATAGAAATGATTACTATAGTAGCTTGTCATGAGTTGATTGTAGGTGAAAAATTATTGTAGTAACATTCTAACATTCTACATGTGAAGGTTCATTTGATGATGTAGTAGTATTTCATCTGCTAACTTCACTATGTATCTTGTTGTTGAAATTATTGAGACATTAGCAAAGGTTATTCTATGATGGAATACAGTGCAAGATAAAAATATCATTTTGACGAAAAATTCGTTGAATCTAAGGGGAAGAAATTTAAACAGCTGTTATTTGTAATTATCTTTAATCGAGCTAATTGTACAATTCGATGGTATTCGTTTTATCTTTCTCCTCCTGCGAAGGAAGCATCTTTTGATGATATTTTTAATCCAACGCCCCATGGCAACAGAATTAATTTATAAATTAAGTCTAAGTGTCAATAATTGAACAATGTGATCAATCGTCAAGATCTCATCAAGTTTTCATGCCGCTGTTCGAGTCGGGAGGAACACGATATATCGATTACGAAAGCGCAGCGCCACTTTTGCTTTTACAGCCAACGATGACGATCGTAGCATCGCCGTACGTTTTTTCTCCGTCGGTTACGTGCCTACTTTCCTCGTTTTCTTTTTTTTTTTTTTTTTCTCCTTTCTATCGGAACGTGTTATATCTTGCGTGTATCTCTTTGTATTATGTACATACGTATAGCCACGTGTACGTGTGAATGACACGTGTGAAGTAAGCTTAAGGGTCGGCGTCGTACACTTCGAAGGACACGATTAAAAGCCTTGCCAATATACAAGGATGAATGAAAACGATGGAAGAGGATTAACGATAGTGTGCCTGTCGAGGAAAGAAGGAGAGCGTCACGAAGCATTTAAGTAATCGCGTTATTTGGACAACGACGCTCCCCCGTTGATCGACCGGGCCGTACTGAAACCCAAAGATACATTTTACACAACGAATTAAGTTAGCCATATAATACGTACTTCTATTTATTGTTTGTCACGTACTTAGTGCCGGGATTCGCGACGTGTAACGAGAAAAGTTTTCCTGTCGAAGCATACATTTTGGCGGGAAAGAAAGTCTCGAAACGTGAATCGAAGCGACCGAGAGAGTCGAAAAGCGGCGTCGAGTTATCGATTGAACACCTTGCACAGAGGGGATCGGTCGGTAAATGTGGTCGCGTTCGTTCTGTCGGTTATTTGTCGTGCAAGTCGAAGAAAATACGATCGATGATACGTAAAGTAGAGCAATATAGGAAAAAAGTTTATCATGATTCTATAAATATATATATGTAATAATCATTTCTATTCCGTCGCGTAAATGATTACTGTATATAGGTAGCCTAATTAAACACTCTGGTAGGTCTATGTTTCGCGTTGCATCGTGCATAGTCCCACGTTAACGAGTTCTCTATGAGGAAGGAAACGATATTTAAAAGAAAAATGCAATTATACCAAATAGTCGGCTCGGTTCTCTCGGCAAACCGGATCGCAACAATGAACACCGGAAACGCGAATCGAACCGACCGATAAAAATTTGTATCTCCTAATCGTCATACTTTTCTTTCTCTTTTTTCCCCTATCTTCTTCCCCACGTTCTTCTTCTTATTCTAATTCTGATTCTTCTTCTTCGTCGTACTCTTTTCTGTTCCTGTTTTTCGTCTTTCACCGTAAACTCCCTGTTGCATCACATGCATACACACACATACTACACGTACAACAGGCGTACACTTCTTTTATCTTTCATCTTCTTTATACCTCTCTCTTTCTCTCTCTATCTCTCCCTTTTGTGTCTCTCTTTTTAAGCTCACTGTATTTATTCTGTACACTTCCTTTATCTTTCATCTTTATACCTCTCTCTCTTTCTCTCTCTATCTCTCCCTTTTGTGTCTCTCTTTTTAAGCTCACTGTATTTATTCTTTTATAGCGTGAAAGGCTGCGTGCGAATCGACGTGCGCTCGTCGAATGTCGAGCTTGAAAACTTGCTCGGGGTGCTTTCCGTTTCGTCCTAAGTGCCGTCGATAGTATTTAGGTTTCTCTTCGATTACGCGATTATACATGTACTGTGCGAAATACACATTTAATTCGAATAAATTACACGCGTATACGTTTCATTACGATCGAAGTGTTGTCAGGATCCATGGATTATTTTCGTTGCACAGTACATGTATATATAAGCGAGATATTTCTATGCTTCGACTATCGATACGTAGGGATGCGTCGATCTTGGAGGACGAATCCATTTTGCGACTAAACGAGCGGATTGATCGCCCTCGTAATTTTAAGGTTAAGAATGTTCGTCGTTTCGATGGGAATAAAACGAACGTGTCCAATGGAAATTGACATTATAGTATGCGAACCAATATGTAAACCCTGCGCGTGTAAATATAGAAGATACTGGAAACATAAGTTAGTGATTATGCTCGAAGCTTAAGATTATCGATAAAAAGAAAACATGCGAAAATTTGTACATTTTTTCTCTTCGGTTGTCGCGTCGACGGTGTATTTATTACTGAATATCGAAATTATTCTTTAAGGCGACATTTAATATTACGAAAAATCAAAATATACGTTAGCTTTTGTTTCTTTTGTAAGATTCACGGAAGACACCCCCAGTAATTTTTGTGCTCTGAATCGGTGTTTCTTTGTTGAGTGAGAAGGTGGATACGAATATCCATGGAAAATAATCATTTCTTAAACAATAAATTCCTTTTTTCGTAATTTTCTGATGAAGAGTTAGTCGTTTGTTTGATTCGAGAGTATCCATGGTCTTGGAATAACTTGATCCGGATTAATTTCACCATTGTTTGAGAAGTGTTTTCAAAAATAGAAGAGTATCTGATGAATCGTCGTAACGATCTTCGACGTTCGAGATATGAAATAAGAAAATAAAGAAATAAAACGGGAAACGCTGTTTCAGATCTTGTTCAAAACGTTTCCACGTCGATGTAGCGCAACGTGTCGGTGAAGTCTGCGTATAAAAAAAAAGTATAAAGTATGTAAACGATAAAGATCTATTTATTAAAGAGGCGAAATATGTTTGAATCTTTGGAGTGACGTTTTTTCTTGATTCGTTTAAGAGAATTTAAGCTATGAAGTAATTATTGTAGCGCACGTGTACATGATTATGTTGTATCTTTGTTTAAACTTTGCCTATGAATAAGAATATACCATATCAAAATGAGATATCAATGATTCCAATTTTTTTTTTTATTCGATTATTCCTGGAATATCTTTAGAAAAGGAAAACGGAACAGGAAATAACAAATACATATGTGAAGCCCTTTCCACAATTTTATTTCCCGTCAAATGCTATAGTATTTCACTAATAGTAACGTCCAGTAAATAATATCAATTAAAGTAATAAATTATTAGGGGCAACCAAGCATATATCGCTATGTACATATAAATATTACACATTTCACTAATCTGCGTTCTACCATAAAACGCTATCGACAAAATAGCGTTCAGAATGCCGATATAAGAAAGACTTGCTTTGCATTTCCATTATATTTCTTTTTTTTTTTTTCTTTCATTTTTCCTCTAAAATCTTTGCACTTTCCGCTGTCCAAGCCGCTCAGGTGATATATATTTTCCTGAGAGTAACTTTCGCGGCCCCGTTTACAACGTTTACCTACAAAACGTTCTCAGTAGCTCTGCCACGATTATACAAACGTGTGTGTGCGTTTAACAAGAGACACTTAACTATTAGATCGATCAAACAACACCGACGCTCGTATGGAGCTTTCTATTAAAAGATTTCAATCTTAAACGTTCAAAGTAGCAACGAGTATTCACTATTTCCGGTGCATCTTAAAACATCCTTACATCTTCCGTTAAATCGTCCCTAGGTGAATTACAAACAGCCGTATGGAAGATATTTTTTGGTCACGATTCCTTCTGTTTCTTTACTGCGGATAACACCAACACAGTATATATCTATGTATATATACATATACAGATATATAGATAGATAGATACCAATTAAACGCATTCGAATGTTAACAAGTTAACTGCGCTTCTTCTTTTCACGATCATTCTAAAAGATCCGTCTAAAGGGATCATTCCATGACCGACTGTACTACAAAATCTCTGTTCAACACGTTACAAACGATCCTAAATAAATCATCTTAAGTACTTAACGTGTAATGTATCGTAATGGAGAAAAACATGTTGTGTGATGTGCATGCATATACGTGTTATATCAGTAGAGTATGATACACATTAGATCGCTGTAAATCTCTTGACTTCCTTTGTCTGGTTAAGTCGACTACGAGCAATGAAAAAGCGGACAGAACATGGAAGCGATTACGAAAGTACTACTACACATATGTACACGTATTGCAGCGCTTTCTGACTCCACGATTAAAAGCGGTTTGCCGATTGATAAACTTATATACTTCTTTTACTTCTCGTTACGTTTCATAATTATTTTTTTTTGTGTTTTCTTTTCCCGTTTTCGTATAAACAAATCAATAGCACTTTTTAGGCATTCTTTCACATACAGATATAACATCCATTCTATATGCACTCGTAAGTAATAATTTTAACGAAGACTGAATATTAATAGGAGAGTATTAGGTCGCTGGATCACCAACCGCCGAAATCATGCTACAGTATGTCGTTCACTTGTAACCCAGGATCCGGCTGGATCATGTTGTCAGTAGAGAAGTCGAACGGTTCCACATCCTTCATCTCGTCCTCGATTTTCACCACGCTACTGCTTATATCCCCCGTGACAACCGCGTTGTTGCAAACTTGATTCGCCGTGTTCAACGTGTCCTCCTCTTTCATATCTTGCTTCATCATAAACGCCTGCTTCTTCGTCTTCGTCTCCCGTTTCGTGTCCGTCCTCTCCCTCTCGTACATGAACGTCTTTCGTTTCCTTCGCATAGGTTTGCATACCTTCTTGTACAGCACGTTCATTTCTTTTATTCTGCTGGTCGGTATCGTCCAGTCCATCTCCTTGGACGTTGTGTCGGAATTGCGTGTGGGATCCATCGTGCTCTCATACTCAGGGATCTCTAGCCCTAATTTTTTCATCACGCTGATCATTATCTCGTCGACGTTACCGTTGATTATTAAGTCTGCCTTTTTGTCCTAAAATGGTATCTTTTGTTTTTCAACTGTATCGATTTTTATACAGATAAATCTACTGACCACAGAATGCCATAATAATTTATACAAATATTACCCTTAAATTATTAATATATCTTTAATTAATGTTTTACTGTTATATCTTTTTTTGTGTTAATTTGTTTAAAGATAAACAAGAAATTGTCTTACATGTTTCGTAGGTTGTAGATTACATATAACAAGTCGACCTCCATACTTTTTGGTGTACAGAGGTAAATTACCGCTCGGGATAATTTGAAGCGTCGTCCCAAGGCATATACTCAAATCAGCCACACTGTAAACGTATTTTTACGTATAATACTTTTTCACAGTAAAACAACTGTCGAAGGAAATAATTGTCAACTAAAACCTGAGATATCAACATAGGATTTTCAGATCAACGAATCGTTTTCCAAAACTTTTTAATATGTACATCAACAACCGTTAGGCACTCTTCCTTTCATCTGTTCGCAAAAAATACCAAATTTTCAATGTTAAAATATATCATAACGTGTGATTTTTTTGTAAACAATATTTTTATGAATTTCTCTTTGTAAAATCTTGCACAGTGCCCCAAGATTTCCGTCATCTTTTACGCGTCTTAACATGAAAAAAATTCATTTGTTCAAGTGAACTAAAATTGTATACTGTTTGTACACGCGTTCATCAAGTTACCTAGAATGTAAGTCAGATAGTGTCAGATCACTATCTGGCAAGTTGTGTTCCCAATCAAGGATAGTGTCGTGCATGCGTCCACGGCATGGACGACCACCAATTTGTTCAGATCTACACACGGTGTCGAGAGATTTTTTGCCCACGCTTTTAGTCGCGAAGTTCCGAATAAATTGCCTAAATGAACAATCGATATTACAGGAAATTATTATAGAAATTCATGTCTACAGAATTGATTTTTTTTTCTTGTAAAAGGGATACCAACCTTCCACACTTGTCACATTGTTCAGTAAACATATTTCCATGCAACTCTGCAAGGTACTGTCTCTGCACTCCAGACCGAAGATGCAAGCCATCAATGTTCTGGCTTATAATAAATTTAATTTTTTCTAAAGAAAATATAATATAGATGAAATTTTGCTCATTCTTAATGGATTACTGCATTGTAATACCAGAATTGTACTCACTACCATCTACCAATCTTTTCAATGCCATGTGTGTTTTTGTAGGAATTGCTTCATCAAAGGAAATGTTCATTGTAGGCTTTAAACCTTTCTGTTCTAAGGTCCATACTCCATTTGTACCTCTAACAAAGCATACATGGTGTGTGCAAATTATTACCAAAAAAAAAGAAAAAATGGAATAATTCCTAAAAATAAATAACAACACAAGAAAGATACATGCAAAACGTCGCTTCCTAATTAAATTGCAATTATTTAAAAAATATTTCATATTTCCCAATATTATGCAAAATGGTAGAAAGAAGTTTTTTTCAAATCCCGCTTATTTTCCCCGCCTGTGTCATAAAATCCCTGCTAATTTCATTCTGTCCATTCAATTTCGTATATTAATCCGTCAGCGTCCCAGGATAGATCACGGTCACCATTGTCGCGCGCAACAATGGTGGACGCGTCGATCAAATGGAATTTCGCCCGTTCCTTCGCGGCACCGTTGTTCCCGCTCGATTAATTTAAAAGAATTGGCCGGTGGCGCTTTCGAACGCATAACAGATCGGAATTGCAGGGCGATCGGGGCGGCCGGGGAGAGGGGATGGAAGTACATAGAAGTAGGGTGGGGATTCGAGCGAAAAATTACAAATGATAATCACCGAAAATCCGGAATGCCCGCAGCAGTGCTGATGCCGGCGCCGGTGTGAACGACGACGTGCCGTGCTGCCTTTATCCAATCGGCGAGAAGGCCGCATTTCAGTCGTAACGCCTCGACGCTGTCGTATCTCTAAAGAAACAAAAAAACAAAAAAGGAGGAAAAGAAGAACGAAAGATTAAACACATCAGACGGGTGAACGATTAAAAATCGTCGTGGATGGCCGACTCCCGCCAAACCGACGATCGTGTACGACGCTTTTTACCTCCTCCAGGCCTAGCACTCCTTTGTTTTCGTACTGCGAGAGCCCATCCGCGTAGCTGCATGACATTTTGCTCGCGCGACCGTTCGAAAATTTCCACCCGAAATCCGTCTACGACGCTAACAATGGCCCGATCGTGTTTTTTACAGCGCGGAAACTGGCATTTCCTGCACGATATTACCGGGTTCCCATGTGTCGGACGGCACGTAAACAATTTGTAAGTTAATGACCGCGTGCTGTTATGTTTATACGCTACGAATGACGATAAGTGATAGGAAACTCGAGATCCACCGAGAACGCATTCTGTTTTATAGACTGCACTGCATGCAATGAAATGGCACTTGAACAGAAAGAAGATAATAAACGTGCCGCGCATGCGCAGTGCGCGCCCCCTGGGAGAGGTGGCTATAGCGCTGCAGACGCTTGAGTTTCTCGCGTCCATTCAATTCATGCCGCGAACACTCAGCGCCACCCGCAGCTTCTCTCCGCGACTAAACACCATTCGCGGTAACATACGAAACGATTATCATTTGTTGACTAACTGTCCTCTAAAGCGCGCGTTTTCATTCTTCTCGCCGTTTTCTATAGATTCGTCGGTATAAACTTTTGAACGGTACTTTGCATCCCGTTTTTCTACACACCTCTCTCCACTTAAGGCGTTTTCTCATGAATTTAAATTCCCACGAAAAATCGAATTTTCGTTGTGTAAGTTTCAACGAGGTTTTCAGAAAAATTTGGTCCATTTCGATGATCTATTTTAAGTACTCAACGTTAACATTGAAAACCTTGACGTTTCCAATATCAAAACTTATAAGAAATTAGGTAGAAACTTATACAAATATTGAACGAAATATCGTGACACTATTTATTCTTTAAATAATATTATTTAAAGTATCCTAAAGGTAAGGTAAAAGATTAAATGACACAGTGTAACGTTCATCATTCGATTTATTCATAGATCGTAAAAAATACAAATACACGTGTCTGTGATTTTACAAAGTTTCAATCTTAACAGAGACACGTTCATCGCCATTATTCCTCTTCTCAATGTTTTCACACAACTCTAACTTAAACTTTCTTTCTACAAATCTACGATCGATGGATCGAGATACAATTAATAACAACTCACATGTATATAAAAAGAAAATATCTATAGAAACAAAAATTGTATTTCTACGTTTAAATGTACCGGCCTAGTGACGTTACGTATCGACGACTAAAGAGGGTACAACTGATGGGTAGCATTTGACCAACAGGGTTGGAACATCAGGTAAATCCTGGATTCAAGGATCAAACGGACTTCGCCCTTCGGCCACAGCTTTCACTAGTTGTTTCGCCTCCTAACGAATTTTTGTACACATGGTTCGATCGATCTTGGTCGCGTAAAGAAGGCGTAGGATTAAATAAACAAATAGAAGGGGAAAAATGAGGGGTGTGAGGAAAAAAAGGAATAGAATTGCTGAATATCGCGAAACATCTACGTCGCGTTGACATTTGCGTCGTTGGTTTATCGAAGACGCGCGTTTTCGTTTCTCGGTCAGAACCCAATATTATGCCAGCCGTTGGACGTGACAGCAATCATCAACAATCCCTTCGTCTGACATAACCTCAAACACTTCCTGTGATTACACTACGCTTCAACGGCGTCGGAGCATTAATGTCAGCCGTATCGAATATGCGAAACAACATTTCACTGCCGCGACGGATAGTTAGAAGTCTTCAAAGCTTTTGCCACGCGTATGCTGTAAGTACGCTGTTCTCGTGGTATTTATTTATTTTTTTTTTATATCTACACATAATTGCGTGCGTTGGACGCTCGACTGTTTTAACATAATTCTGTTTGGCGATTTTACAGTAAGTATATAACACAGTATTTATGTTTGCATCCGTCGATCAAAACGTTTGGGCGGCGGGATCGTGACAGAAGCCGATAAGAATCTTGCACGCTTGTCGTTAGCTTTTTTTTTTATTTCTTTTTTACTTCGTGCACGTTCTTATGAAAAATTCGGTTGGCAATCTGGAAGTGATTATTTCCAGAACGATTGTTTTAGCGTGGATTAGAATTTTGGTAGGTTCAAGGAGAGGATTGCTGTTGAAAATAATGAAACTTGTACAATTGACGAAAGAGGAGATTGTATACACTGTTCCGATTAATTATTTACCGAGTTGTTAAAGTTTAAAAACGTGTAACACCTCTCTCTGTGACTTATTAATGAAACATGTAGAGCAATCAGTCGGGTTTACAATGTTTTCTTTGTTTCGAGCGAACACAGAACAAACTTGATCACATGGTTGAAATATAGTTGAATTTTTTACATTAATGTTTAAGATACAGTTAGTGTATGGTGTTTTGGAAATGCCAAAGGTGAAAGTTCTGGAATGTTAGTTTTTCTAGTCGCTTTCTAAATGCTGTACAATTTGATGCAGTTCAATGCAATACTGTGTAATATCGAAGTGTGTGTGTGTGTGTGTTTTTTTTATTTCTATTCGATTTAATAGTATACAAGTATTTTAATAAACAAGTATTTTAAACGAGTGCACAGTACTTTTTTTGTTTTAAATGGTCAAGTTAAAAGTACTATAAAAATGTAACAAATATATGTAAAAAATATAACCTATTTTAAATCTCAATACTTATTTATTTATTGTAATAACAAAAGTATGGATCAATGTTAGAATTAAAAACTATATAAAAAATTGATAAAATTGACGCTATCAGTTATACACCATTAATAGTTACCAAAGTTTTATTCAAATTATCGTTGCACTTATTAATATCATTAAAGTTAAATGTTTATTACATGACGCAAGAGAAATTTAACTTTATGCAATCTTAAACCTGTAAATATGATTATATTATAGTATATGTATATATCTCAAAGAAACTGCTACACTTACAATACGAAATGGATCACTCCTTTCTAGGTATTTCTCTTCCACGAATTCCAGAAATACGTTCGAAGTATATTCTCCTTAAGGGGTCATTCTACTTTATAACTTTGAAAAAAATCGAAAATTTTTTTATTCCTTTTTTCGAAAGTATATATATATATTCAACAGTATTTTCCATAATTTTGATGATGAAATTCGAAATACTTCAGTGCTTTATAGGTAGTACAAATAATAACACTCGAATCACCTGTGTTGTTAGTCACCTCTGTACTTATTGTTTAGTATATTCTTCTCTTTGTTTTTTTCTTTTATTGTTTAGCATATCTCTATGCCTGATTATATTATTTAATTGTATGACGTTGGGTAGAATTACATGTCAGTTGAGACCCAAGAGTCAGTAAAGTGTCTGAATTTCAGAGTTGCAAGAACAGTAGGCTTTCTAATTTCGGAATTTATAAATTTGAACATGAATAGAAAGTAGTCAAACAAATGAAAGTTTCGCGGGAATCAGTATTCTGATGAACAGTGTTCAAGTTTCGTGAGTACTTTATCATACCTTTACGTTAAAAAATTTACCGGAAAAAGGGTGTTTTACTAAACTTTTTCTGAATATCGTAGCCATTTTGAAAAAGAAAACATTTAAAACTATTAAAAAGATTATTTAAAAATTTTTTTTGTATTGTGTAAGAAATTTATTAAAATACCGAAAAACTTAATTTCATTATATGTTGTACTTACTTAGAAAAAAATTGTTCAAAATAGCATAAGTTTTCATTCGTCTATGTAGAATAACCCCTTAAGCAGTTTACAAATTTTGTTGACGCGTCTAACGGTTACCACACAATGAAAGCAAAGAAATCGTATCAATTGTTATTTCTGATGGATGCACTCATATTTTTACGAAAAATACAACGAAATCGAGCAAAATGGTGTTTCAGCTTCTAACCACAATCAAGTACTGCCACATCGACCGAATACCGATACTCGAATCCGATAACGGGTGTACACGTAGTTTTGCGATAAGCGGCTATTCCTTATTTTTTCATATACTGCAAATTCTAATGCGATAACAGACAGATGTATGGGAATGGGAGAAAAAGTTTGAGATGAATTTCGAACATTTTTAAATAAATAAAAATGACAGGAGAGTGCAATTTTTGTATGATCGTGATATTATTATTTCTCGCAAGAGTCAATGATTTAGATTAATTCAGCAAAATAAAGTCATTGCCCTGCTTATCAGATATCTGAAGAAAAGCATTGCTCAAGATGTTTAACGAATAATAAAGAATACGACTAATATTCTCGCTACTGATAAAAATTAAAAAATAACGTGTTCGTTTAATAAAATGAACTTTAATCAATGACTTTCAAACTGTTCAAGGTTTACAGAAACGTGGAAATTATTTACATAGATAATAACTACGCTGTCTATATACCTTTCTATACCCTACTCGTGGAATAAATTCAAAGTACATAGTAGTTTATAATTGAGATTATATTTAACGAACGGAAATTCTATACCCTTGAGCACTCTTGAAGTTATTGCATTATTTTGCAGTATTGTAATACTAACGAATAATCTAAATGCATTCTTTGAAAAAATGAATGTAATGATAAATAAAGCAAAGAGGTGGCTTCAGGTGGGACTTAGGGTCAAGAAAAAACATTGAGAGAATTGTGAAGATATACTCTCACAATCGTACGATATGCAAACTGATTAATAACATGCAATAGAAGAGAGCATATGCACTTTAATCGCCCGACTGTGAATATCTAAACATACATTTTCAATTAATCGCGTTGTAGTTTCGCTTTTTCGTGGTATTAAACGGCTCGTTAGGTTCTTTCACCACTTATCAACGAATGGTAATGTACATATCTCTAACAACTTAATTCAAGGTATACACTTATCGACGATAATCGACTATCGTTAGGACAAACTTTCACCGAGCCGGACGCCAACTTGAAAATCGTCGCGTTATAAATTTAGCGGCAAATAGTAGTACTAAGAAACGTGAACCTTGATCGGTTACTTTACCGCTTGACATCTTGAACCAATTGAATTACCCGAGCTTTAACATTATTATTCCAAATTACCACCACCTACTGATGTCCAGAAATCACTGTCCGCCAAAGTACAGACACGCGAAGACAACAGATGAGACGGTGTCGGATTACAGTAACGACTAGACGCACGTCACACACGTGTTCTTCACATTCGAAGTCCACAGCTGGCATTCTTCGATCCCGCGACCTTGCGCGTTGTCAACGGTTTTTTTCCTACTATTGTCTGCACAGAAAACATACGGGTAATCCATGGAAGGCGTTGCATATAGGTAGAAATAAGTATATATGTATATATATCCAAGAATAGAACATAACGTAAATAACGAACGCTGCCTTGCGCGTGCATGTGTTAGAGTTTTTCAGCCGGACTGAGACGTGTATGATGTAAGGGACTCGTTAGTATGCTGGATAAGCGGCGGCTCCATGCCTCCGGTACGTCGCCATGCACTATGATTTTCTTGGTCGCCTTGGCATTGACTGGATGCTTATCGTTGTGGCTGCACATCGACGGCTCTGGATCCCCAACGTCGTCGTACAGCAGCGGCGCCTCGGCGCCGGGATACCTACTGATCCTTCCTGACAACGTCACGCCCTCCCCACAGCCGTACTTACTACACGAACTACCGTTCGGTGACAGGTCCACCCTGATCAACATAAAGGATTTTCGATTCACGATCAATCATGAGCCGTGCAATCGAAGCCACCCGTTGCTGCTGATGCTGGTCCATTCAGCGCCCGAGAATTACGTGAAGAGAAACGTGGTCAGAGAGACATGGGGCCAGCAATCTCCGGACGTGGCGCTCCTCTTCCTTGTCGGCTCCTCAGACGAGCACCAGGCGAGGCTCGAAGAGGAAAATAGGAAATACAAAGACTTGATACAGGGCAACTTCCTCGATGCCTATAGAAACATGACTTACAAGCATGCGATGGCATTGAAATGGGCTACGTATCATTGTCCAAGTAAGGTTACCTTTTTTTTTCTATGCTAGACGCTTGAAACAGGCCATATGTTAAATTTTTTATTATCGCGAGGAAGAGAGGGAGGAGTGTTTGAATTTGAATATGACAGAATCTTTCGATAGCATTCTTCGTTTGTCAGTGAAACATGTGAGTCTTGATTGTAAATAGCGAATTGTTGAATTTGAGGAGAATCTATTGTTTGCTTTTCTCTTCTCTTCTCTTCTCTTCTTTTCTTTCTCCACCTTCCGTCTGGAAAAAATAGAGAACTATCGGGCTTGTTTTTAAGCGTCGTTTAAGTACATTCGTCTCTATACAGATTTTCTAAAAACATTTCTCTCGTCTGTTGTTCCAGGTGCCAAATATATACTAAAATTAGACGACGATGTTTTTGTTCATATACCCGCCATGTTGGATTTCTTGACGCGCGATCTATCGCCATGGGGAGCAAGACGGTTAATCCTGTGTGATCTCCTTTCTGTGAGCACCGTGAAGAGATCATGGCGTTCCAAGTGGAGAGTATCCCCTCAAGAATATCCTGGAAGACATTATCCTGCGTACTGTGCCGGATGGGCGATACTCTATTCGCCCGATAGTGTGTTTCTTTTGTATCGCGAGGCTCAGAAAGAACCGTACTTCTGGATCGACGATGTTCATATTACCGGAACGTTAGCTAAGAAAGTAAATTTAACACAAACCCCTATGCATTATCTGGTGCTAACCAACGAGAACATGCAGGACCTTCTGTCGAACCCAAGTTCTCGCAGGGAGTTTTTGTTTGGACCTCCGAATCTCACGGAAAACGAAATAAGAGCCTTACAGAATCTGGTCACTAAACCACGGCCTAGCAGTGAAAGCCTATTCAATTGAAACATTTTGAGCAGGTGAAAGAGATTTGTGTATCGGTGATTTGTTTTTTTTCTTCCTTGAACCGATTTCTCGAAAATTTTGTATCATAAAAGAGCTTTAAAGTTAAATTTCCTTGCAGTTGTTTCAACTTTGAACAAAAGTGCAATAAGTTCTTGTATCCTGCAAAATGTGAAAAAGGGAAAATTTGTCTCGAAAGATCTGACTTCAGATGAATAAATATAATTCTCATTTAACGCAATATAAGAAATATTCTGATATTATATTTGATATTTTTTCGCTCTGTTCGCACATTTTAATTTTGTACAGATGCGAATATCTTCGTCATGAGCTTTCAATTTTTTGCTCAGTATTTTTACAGTATTATACTAACACGTGATGAAGGTTTCTTTTTTAATATATCGAATCGGATATTCTGTTAATAACATTTTTCTTCTTTTAACATAGTGGCAGATTTTATTCTAATCATGATATTATTATACTGTTTTTCTAACGACATATACTCTTATGGCAACTGTTTTAATTGTAATTATTGTATGGTTTCGTTTCTAAGTATAGTTCGGTTTCTAATTTAAGCAATGTTTACTTAAGCGTGTCCAAATTTACAAAGCGAATCTCAGTCGTCGACGCACCATAATTTTTGTACTTCTCGTTTATCTGTGTATTTGCGGCTAATTTGGCTATTAATTAAGCAACTCTTTTTCGCGAATTTATCGATGTAAGGCACACGATAAGCTCATGCGATAACAGCATTATGTAGCAATAGATCTTTTTTTACGTATTGATTGGCACGCGACGAAAGTAAACGTATAATTCGAGAATTATAAACGCGATCGAGTGCGACGAGGGATAAAGATTTATATATATATAGAATATTATATCAAAATTTATGATGACAGATTGTTATATGAAAATTTCGACGTAAATTAACATTGTTATGTAACAATAAAAGTACAACCCCAAATCAAGGGTCCATTCGCAAGTTAGAAGATATAAAAAAAAAAAAATGAAGCGGAAATTCTTGTTCTAGTACCGCGAATCGTTAATCTCCGACGATTCGACGAAACATTCTAATTCTCTAAGTTCCTTGAACAACATGGATCTATATGCACCTTTACTTTTTTATCTATTTTCAAAAACTTCTCGATGCAATATACCTCAGTATACGTGTGCAATATATACTCGTGTATGTGTAATAATATATTTATCTCTCTCGTTTTTTTTTTTTAAATCTAGAATACAACGAATACAATTTGCAAAAGAAGCGCACGAATTTCTCTGGAAACAGAGTGTACGAGAGAGAGGGAAAGAAAAAAAAATGGGAGAGAGAATGAGAGAATATGTTTTAAATGGAACGATTTTTTCTCTTCTAACGTAAACGATTTAACACGCTTCACCATTGCTTTAATGGAGACCTGTAAATTCTGAATTGGAATCAGTATACACCTATAGTATAATATACGTACAAAACGTTGGTGACTATTAGTTAGCAAAGTGTCTTCTAATTATTACCTGACGTGGAATGAACGGTTTTTACTTATTTATTTAATTTATACTAACTATAGCTGTATTCTCGTCAACGTCGTGTATAGAAATGGAACGTTTCCATTATGTATTATCGAACGTGTCCGTATAGTGATGGAGTAAAGTACTTATAATTTCAATAAATCACAGACTGTTTCAATTATACGTTATCTATGACCCTATCAACAGTTTCAAATAATACCACATAATTTATGGATCGATGTATCGATTTTCTGCCTATATCTATAGGTGTAAGATTCATAAAGAAGAAAAAAAAGGAGAGAAAAAAAGATTTCGAAAGATGTAAGAAGCGTCGTGCTTGACAGATCCTCGGTAGATGTCACTCTCGGTCGGCCGCTATATTGATCAAGTTAGATTTTCTAAGGACGCACGTTGATAAGATCTCTGGTATTTGTCGATTACATGAGAAATTCGTCGCGGTATCAACAACCGTCGGTAGGATTTTTCATCGGACTCGTAGCGCGCCATACGTGGGAACGTAATTTTTCGCCTATGACGTCATTTGTGAATTACACAAGCGTCACCGCTCAGTCTGTTGTGGAAAATTTCATCGGATCCATGGCAGCGCCGAGTGGAGTCTGTTTTTCCTAATAAAAATCGAAATAACGGACCCCGGAGCACATCGTGTCAACTAACAGACGCTCCTGACAGTGGTTTTATTCCATTTGGAAATCTCGTTCGAACGAAGTGAGCAATCCCGCTTGCCCGTCTTTTTTTTCCGCGATTCTCTCACCGTGCAATTCTATATTTATTGCGCGTGGAAGCGATTGTAACCGTACTGTTGAATGGTTTATCGTTTGTTTTCACGACGTAAAAAACAGGATACAATGTGTTGCAATGATCACACGAGCGGTTTCCGCGTTTTTCGAAAATGACAACTCGCCTGACGGCGATATGAGTTCACGAATTCGATCCGCGTTTTTGTCGTCATCGAGTGACTTGTTGGAGTTTAATCATATTCGAATGACGATAGCGGTCAAATTATGTGTTTCAGTGGAAATTATTCGGAAGATTTGTGCTTCTAGAATGAAACTCTTTGATGTTTACAATCGCTGCCACGATCTTTCGTACCATCGATAATTTTATTTATCGTGACATACTCGTTTTTTTTATTTTTATTCTTATGTCGTAAGGTGAACGTGTGAAATTCATACAAAATAATTCGACTTGTTTGAGAATCTTGTGAGATGGATTTAGAAATATGTCGTGATTTTTTTATTCACATTGAAGGGACCATTAATAGGTACTTAAGTGAACAATGGTTTTACAGGTGTTGTTACAGTACTGGATAGTAACTTAAAAGTTTATTGCAATGTCGATGCAGCAGTTCTGTTTGCGGTGGAACAATCATCAACCGAATTTTATTTCGGTCTTCTCAAATTTGTTAAACAATGAGACTTTGGTGGATGTGACATTGGCTGCCGAAGGCAGGCACCTTCAGGCACACAAAGTTGTACTGTCTGCATGCAGTACATACTTTCAGTCATTGTTTACTGTAAACCCATGCCAACATCCAATTGTCATACTGAAGGATGTAAAATTTTCAGACTTGAAAATCATGGTTGACTTTATGTATTATGGTGAAGTAAACATATCACAGGATCAGTTACCATCTATTATAAAGGTATATTTGAATTTATGAAAAGTTCATTGTGTTAATTTTCCTGTTTAGTGAAGCAATATTACATAATTTTCCTCCTGCTCTTTTATGTAGACTGCAGAGAGTTTAAAAATAAAAGGACTTGCAGAAATGCATACTGCTTCTTTAACCAAGTGGCCAAGTGGTAGTAGTGAACCTGGAGGAGGAGACCGTGGGGAGTCCTGTTCACCTAGTCCATCTCCATTGTCACCAAATTTTCGTAGAAAGAGATTAAGGAAATCATCCACTGGGTCAACATCTGGATCTGGTGATAAACCAGAAGAAATGAATGAAATCACTTTAGTTGCCACCAATATTGTAAAACCAGAACCACTGATAGTTTCACAAGAAGGCAGTGAAAACCTAAGAAGACCTGTTAATACCAGTACAGAATCTCAAGGAAGCATTGATGAGGATCAAATATCAATTGTAAGTATATTTATTAAAATGTTAATATTTACAAAGAAAAATTAATGCACAAGAAGTATGCAGTTCAATTTAAACAATTTATCTTGCATCTAGTATTAAGATGCTGAAAAAAGCATTGTGGTATCGTTCATTTCAGATGAGTAACATGGAGAACAGTTCAGCAGCAACACCAGCACAAAGTGATGGCTCTATACAAGATGTAAGTCAACAGTCAGGAGGAAATGTGGCACAGAGTTCAGTTTCTTCACAACCACCTTCACATCAAGGTAAGTAACTTTCCATAATGTGTGCAATTAACCCCTTAACGCGCACACTCGAATTAATTCGAGGGAACGATAGTGGTAGAAATGTGTACACTCTCGAATTTAACTCGAACAGACTCGGCGAGTCTTATTGAGAGGTTGATACAAAATTATCATAATGATAAACTCGTAAAAAAATCAGGTCGGCCAAAAAGTACTGGGATATTACGGATAACAGAAAGACATTTTCCCAATTTTATTCCGCCAACTGCAAAAAAACAAGCGCCAACAAGATACTGCGCGGTATGCTGCGCACAGCGAGACAGTAAAGGAAAAAGAAGAAGAAAAGAATCTCGTTACTGTTGTATTTCTTGTAATGTTGGATTATGTGCTGCACCTTGCTTTGAAATTTATCACACGAAAGAACATTTTTGATTTTTTTTCTTTTTGTTGCTTAGAACTATTGTAGTTATTGTGCCTACATTTTACGCATATACAATAAATTGAAGAAATAAAATTCATGCTTCTGATTAAATATTTTATTTTCGTCCCAACAAGTGTGTAAGTATTATACAAAAGTATGTTCGTAATAAAGATTTCCACGGATAAAAAAAAAATTATCTTTTCAGACGATTTTTGTTTTTTTTTTTTCAAAGTGCACGTTAAGGGGTTAATCTGAGATTATTCTAGAATGTTTAATATAGGTTTGTACATTGAAATACAGCGAAGTATTTATAACACATATTTGTAAAATGACACCAGAAAAAGTTTGACATTTTTAAATATATGTAACGGAATCATAAACAAGATACTGTTTTCAAAGTTTATGTTTCTTTCATAAGCAATAATTTAAGAAGAGAAAAAAAGTAAAGATGTTTTGAAATCGAAATTATTGCTAAATACTCTGTATACTGTTTCAATCTTTACCAAATAAATTTGGTAATTCTGTTCTTTATTTAATGCACAAGCGGCAATAATTCAAATTTAAATATGCATGGTGTATCTGTCTCCCACCCAAATACCTTCGTAGTTTCGTAGTGAAGCGCGATCTGTAGTGACTGTGTGGTGGGTATTGAAACTGCATGTGAACAAATGAAACTTACACACATTATATGCTGGCACAGATGCGTTTAAATGTACTGCACAAGGAAAAGCAACAGACGTTTGACATGAAAATAGAGCGAAAGTTAAGAGGGGAAAAAAAAATTTTTTAAAATGGAAATTAGTAGTGCAAATCTTTTAAGGCTAGTCTCATTCATGAAATTCACCATGGTACACAGATACATAGCACACAATGTATAAATGTTCTTTGAGAGGACAGTAAAATTGGGCCTTTAACATTGTTGGGTGTGTATGTGTGCCTTACTCTGTCCTATAATTCAATAATCAAGGTTTTACACAATTTTCCTATACTGAAGATGAATGATAATGTGCTTTAAAATGTATCTGTGCCATGCCACAATATTCTACTCTTAATATTCCCATATGTATACCATTACTTTTTCACACAAACTTTTACAAATATTTTTCCATTCTTTTCTGCTTACAGCTTAGCATTCGTTTCTTTATTATTATTTTTTTTTTTTTGTACACACAGTAGCAACAAAGCATTACATTTCATTTCAATTAGATATTTTTTTCTTCCAATTCTATAGTTTAATTCTACAGATAAAGCAAATTATTGCCGAATTGTCTTTTTCGTTTATCAAAAAAAAATATTGAATTTCATTTTAAAATACCTTCCATCGATCTGTTTTTTTTTTTTTTTTAAAGAATATTTTATTCAAGGGACACATCTCATAAGTAATACAATACAATATACACCTAATTAGCATTTATTTAATGTAAAAGAATACATACATACACACGCAACCGTTATATCAAAATAATTCCTGTGCTCTGACCAAAGTATGAACCGGTCTGTTTCACAGGATTGCAATGGACTATTATGGAGCATACATATCCACGTTTCGCTCTGTCCTCGTGTCAAACGAATCTGTCGATCCAAGCGTCATCAGCTTTTACCACGCCCGAAATAACAGCTTCTTCGACCATCAGCGATCAGTACTCCGGTACCAGCACGACTGGTTCTAGTTGCGCCCTGACGAATTATTCGAACTCCTCGCACGGGACGTTGCAACACGCTTCGTCGAGCGGCCCATCACCTTCGACACAGTGCCCGAGTAACTGCCAGAGCCCGTGCGCCAGTCCGCAGACCGCAATTAAGAGGAAACGATCGACAAATCCCCAAGCGGACGAGAATTTTATAAGGGCGTTAGATGCCGTTAGATACGGCGGCATAGGGTTCTGTAAAGCGGCCAGGATGTTCGGTGTGAATAATCGAACGCTTTGGTTGGAGTATAAAAAGCGCGGTTACCCGAACAATCGACCGAGTTTGAAATCGAGGGTCAAGCAAGAAGTAAATTCCTCGCCGCCGCCAGCGCCCTCGGCGCAGCCGGTCAATTCGCAGAGTCCTACGCCGATGGGCCCCCCCACCACTCCGCACAGTACACACAATACCCACAGCACGCATACCATGCTGACCACTCATAGTCCTCATACGATGTTAAGCGGTTACATCGATAGCAGGCATACGGATTACGCGTTGCCCAGCACCACAATGCCAATCAATTTACACGGTGTCAACTATAACGCGATGTGAACCGGTGACCACGACGTGCCACCACCGCAGCCGCCGATGATGGCCACTTGTATAGACGAGCTTGAAAAGTATTAGGATCTCCGTGTCACGTGGAATCAAGTTTTGAACTTTCCGGCGATACTCGTAACCGATGAATAACGGAAGATGGATTGTATACTGTTGAGCTGTCGAACAAAGAATGGCAGATACGCGATTTTAGATACCCTTTTTTGCATAGTTTGTACGTATCTATAAGAACCTTCTGGAGTAACAGAGACCAACGGCGAGGTGCTCTAGGCCCTTTCTGCGTTATCACGGCCGTTGTGAGATAAAAATGCTGCCATTGGGTCTCTTAAGGAAAGCTGCTCCTGTGCCACAGTGTCCCGTGAACGCTGCCTCCTCCATATGCTCTTTTCTAATATGCACATACACACACGCGAGGTGTTGCTACGAAATTTGAGGGATTGGAAACAAGAAAGTACTTTTCTTAATTCGTATTAAGTGTTCAGGTTAGTGAATAATATATTACTACGTCTTTGATATTCACGTGATGCATCAATTACGTTTTAAATCAACCGAACGAAGGAATACATTTTTATAAATACTAAAGGGCGTATAAATTGAAAAATTGGTAATCGAAAAAATGCAGGTACATTTTGCTTTTTAAAATTCGTCGTTGCACCTGGTTCACGCACGTTATTCGAATCCCTCGAATTTTTGAGTAACACTTCGTAAGCATGCCAAATCGGCGTATTCACACTGTCGCATTATAGGGCATGTAATCGTATACACGACAAGCCCTTGAGAATGTGATAAAATTGATCACAATTCCGGTATACGGTGAGGTGTACAGTGTCAAATTAGTTGCAAGCAGAGATGTCGGAGTAAAACGAGGACTTCAAGTAACACACGAGACACTTCATATATCACAGATGCAATTTTTTTATATTAGAGTACACGTACGCAACCGCAGATGTCGTTGCTGTACCGGTGGAGCTCGTTGACTTGCGATTCTAATTAACGATCATCGGTAAACAAAATTCGTCTCGTTTTATGCCGCTTTTTTCTTGAGAAGAAAACAAGAAGCTGGAGTGAAATCGTTGTTCTAAAAGAATGATCAAGTGTACGGTGTACACTGTGCGATTTGTTTTTTGAACGATGAAATATTTATCGAAACCGGCTGAAATTTTAATAAATTACAAGTGAACGAGTTCAGAGTGTACCACGACTGACGCATTTCCGTTAACAGCGTCGTCCACCATCGGAATTTCTGGCGGAAGGTAAAGCAAGTTTCTTGACACACAGGTTCCTTTAGTTTAAATCATGTATCGTTTGAAATCTGAATTATAGGCGATGTGATAGAGCGAGAGCTGCCATATGTGGGAACGCATATATTTGCTTGTTTGTGATTTTCAGATATTTATAGACAAAAAACTATCGAACATTTTTTAATTTTATGGTTTTATCGTCCTATGGGCGCACGATCGATCGTCACGAGGAGTAACGATATAACCTAAGGTTGGTGGAGTAATCGCGTGCGTGCGCACGCGCGATACGTCGCGTGCACAACTATTTTGCTTTCTTACCAACTTTAGCCTATAACATGCCGTATGAATTTTTGTACATAGTGAATAAAGTAGCGATACGAAATATAGTTAGAGAATATGTCATGTGTATTTATACACATACACGTACACACATGCAGTTAATACATCTTACACAATTAAGAACCTATCTACGAAAGAGAAGGTGAAACCGCTATGCGTCGTCAATACATGTATTACGATTAATTCGAATGAAAAAACCTTCCATATCGAATGGTAGTCGTTCGAAGGGAAAGATTTTAATCTCGTGCGTACGTTTTGTAACGAGTACGTCAGCTTTCGTGAGAGTTATATTGTTTGAAAGGATTTGTTCGAAATTTTCTACGATAATTCTATTCCACTTGATGCATTGCTAACCGTTGGGAGACATCTACTGTTCAGATTGAGTACTTTTTTATTTGAATGTTTTTTTCGATGTATTTTACGAATTTTTATCGTACAAATCAGGATTCTTTACGAATTTTAAGAATTCTCGTTTCAACGTAACTGGTTGGCAGTGTGTTAAGAAATTCTATTATACAGGATGTTTCATAAAATACGAAGTAAAAATTCATTTATATTATAGTAGCTCGTTTGATTAGACTAGTTTACCCATCATTTTTTTGAGTCTAGCAGTTCTATCGTCTCGAAAATTACATCAAAACTTTGTGACACATCCTGTACATAGAAGCAACAGGCTACAGGGTATAGTAAAGTGACTGTTAACGCGCAGGTTCACGTTAGTACAAATTGCGGAGTTCTGTTTTCATTCTAACCAATCGAACGAATTTTTTCCACAGTGAATTCGAATTGTTTTTTGATGTTTGTGTGCGGTGTTTGAATTTTTCCAATTTCATTAACCAACTCGCTAAACTATTCTTTCCTAACATCGACGCGTGAATTAATTTATACAATTTTAATCGGTTTAAAGTGTCGTAGTTTGTAAGTGCTAATTTGTACAAAAGTATTTTTCTATTTTTACGCGGTAAGAAGTAACGTGTGCTTGCTTCGTACAGTGCAATACTCGCGGGAACAAACGTTTTTCTGATTTACTCGTCGATTTGTTACATGTACAATTATACAACTTACGATAAGAGAGAAAGAGAGAGAGAGGTAAGAAGAGGAAGAAATACAATAAAGTAATGCATGTATTGAGAAATAGGTTCATGATACGATAACCTATCATTGATCATCGGAGAAATTAGAGAAATATTTTCCTTTTTCTTTTATCGATTGCTTCGATCGTTTTTTAACGAAGTTATATCATTCAGTTTTTCATAGTTCGCAGACAAAAATTTATTTCTTTATTTTGAAAGTGTGAAGCGATAACGATCGATAAGTGTTCCATCGAAGCGCGAAATTCAAATATATCATTACGACGTTAGAATTAAAAGCGAATGTATCTTCTTGTTTAGCAAATAGGCGCATTGTAAATATCATCAGTGATTAATTTTCTCTTTTATTCGCGCGAACGAGTACCATTTCCTCCCCTCCCTTCTTTTTTTTCTTTTAATTCAGTTGCATTTAACATTTCGAAAAATTGCGATCGCTAATTCGTACTCGACGAAAGCGTCGATCTATAATTAACATTTTCGTGTCCATGAATTTTAATTTCGATTTCTTTTCACTATCTTCGATGACATGTATTGATTTAAAAATGAAACTTTATCAGGACGCAATTATTTTAACGAAACGTTACGAATGGAACTCGTCGTTATTTTCCTTTCGTTTCGATCTTTTTCATTGAAACTTTGTACAAATCGATAGATAAAACTATAGAATGTTAAAAATGTTGATCGTAATGTACACTATAGCAAACATTGATACTTCGTGAAGAATAAAAAGAAAAAAAAAGAAAAAGAAAGAAAAAACGAGAGATAGAGGGGAACTAGTTTAAAAAGGAAAAAATAAATAAATAAATAACGGTACCGAATTTTATATCGCAGAGGGTCGAGTTTAATGTGTCAGTGTTATTGTATAACGCCTTTAATAAATCACGTGAAGGAAAAGGACGAATTGAAAATGTTGTTTCTGGCCAGACACGACTCTGTTCACGTGATATCCGTCTTTTTAGAACTTTATTTATGTAGCGATTTTCTGTATAAAGAATAAAATTTTATTTACCAAGATATAAGAATCTGTGCCCGCATATTGTGACTTGTGTATGTACAACAACGCGACAATTTCAACCTTTCACTTGTTATATCAAGTATTTAACAGTTTAATTACAGAAAGGTCTACTATAGCCTGCGAAGAATCTGTTGCTTGCTCAAGGTCACTCCCTGGGGTTCCCCCACTCCTTTCACAAGATGGCTACGAAAGCTTCGAATTTTCACTTGAGTCTTCAAAAGTACAACTTATGTTAACCTAAAACAAATATATTTTGACTGTATGCTAAAAAAAAAAAATACGCTCAAATAAAGATCAAAGTGTAAAGAATTAATTTTCTACGATTAAATATTTTAGGGTAAATTTTCACCTTCGTTTCAGGGTTCTCTTGAAATTTCTAAAAAAAAATTTCTCTCGATGAAAAATCGTCCTTATATCCCACCTTCTTTCTCTCCGCATCGATTAAGCACCTCCTTTCCGTTCCAGTAGTTTGCAAGCAGCTAGGTTCGAAGAGGTGTCGCCTGTTGATGCGTCAGCCACGAGTGAAGAAGGAACCGAACCACTTGTCGCCAGACAGCGAGACATCTTCACCCCACATCGTCTCTTCCTCCATCTACGTGACGACACCGTCGCTGAATCTGCCACAGACGTCGAAAACCTGGGAGGAAACGAGAATCGCGTCACCGCCGCAATCGATCCTTGTGAATCAACCGAGTCTGTTGACGGTGACCACCTCGACGAACCTGTTGACCGTACCCCAGCCGTCCTACTTGATGAAACAGCACTCTCACCCGTTGTTGTCTAGTCAGCAACACACCAGCGGCGGGAATTATTGGATACACAGGCAACACTCGAACCCGGAGTTCCCCAGGAGAACCACCAGTCCGTCTATCGTCGTGGAACCAGCGCCTGTCGTTAAAACAGAGGAGGAAAGTATGGAGGAACCGATACCAGCTACCACCATGGACATCGCAGGATCTACTTCAGGGCTGAGGGTGAAAACAACGGAGCTTAGAAGGAGCTCCTCGTCTCCTCAAGTAAGGGAGAGATGGAGAGAATCTTTGTATATCATATTGCAGTTTCGTTTGTTCTTGTTAAATTAATTCAATCAATTCTCTGTTGCAGACGACGAGCAGGGAGTCTAGAGAAAGCACAGGTGGAGATCTGCGACTTGGTCACTGTCCAGTGTTGCGTCCAGGTCCGGCATTAGGCTGCAATCACTGTTGGAACACTATAGATGCTCACGGGAGGACGCTTCGAAGGAAGACGAAGTATCATTGTCCAGAGTGTCAGGCTAATCTTTGTATCGTACCCTGTTTCCAAGAGTACCACGAGCAACGACGAGAGTTGAAGTTGAAGCCTCTACCGAAAACCAGCTCTGTCTAATGCGTTTTCATTTGTACCATTTACTTTTCGAATTGTACACGTGTGCTTTAATTGGAAGCCGCGTGAAGGATGAATCTTTTAATTTTGGTAGCTGATGATTATTATTGTCGAATCAGCTTTCGTCCTCTCGTCGAGGCTTGATTTTCTCACGGTGTCTATTGGTACATACGCTTTTTGTGCGGTGCTTGTGAGCCTCGACGACGGGGAAATTTTGTGAGAATATTGTAATCATTGGAGTTTGAAACATGGAGAGGGGGAGATAAGTGTCTTTGGATTGTAATTGTTTTTTCGTCAGTTGTTTTCTGGATTGTATCGTTCGCCTTACCAGATGATATTTTCGGGAGGAAAAATTGAAAACGAAAGTTCCTAAGGATATTTGTAGAGCGACACTGGCGACGATTTGTGAATTAATTAGGCACGGAAGGCTTGTGATCGGGAATTCTGACGATTTGGTCTTTTATAGGTATTAAAAGGACCTGGATGTTGTTTAAAAATTCGTTGGATTTATTTTGGAAATTATTTTAAATAGGAAATAACGCTGTTTTCAATTCTTATTTATTTCTTGTTGTGATTGGCTTAAAATTGTTTTGTACTTCTTTAACAACTTCGGAATTTTAAGTGCGATCGTGGACTGAGAAATACGTGCATTAACAGCTTTAATATAATCACGAGACAATTTTTATTTTTAGACATAAGCTTTCTGCAGTTTCTAAAAACAGAATTCATACTTTGTTTCGCAATTATTTAAAACAGCGAAATTAATTTAATTTTCCTAGGCAAGAAGATGCAACGGAAGGCTTCTATAGCATGGCGTAAAACTATTCATCAATTTTCGTGGCTTGCAACGTCCAAGGAACGTACAAGAAAAGAATCAGAAACGTATTATTCATACTCGTTTAACTGAAGTTCATTCTGTTATTTTTACAGTTACAACTTTTAATTCCCACTATCCTCAGATCCATCAATAGTGGTTTGAGGCTTCAAAAAAGTTACAAATAGAAAATCAAAATTATAAATTCTGAAAATGTCAGAAAAATTCATCAAAAATTTTCTTTTTTTTTTTTTTCAAATTTTCTACGTGACTTTGCCCTCTGGAAACGTTTGTCCACAGGTTTCTTAATTAAAAACCGTATCGTCGGTTTCACGACGTGCGTCTAAGAATTTCCTAAGGGAGTAAACACGGCCTGTTTGAGGGTAGACGTCGCGAGGAGCAGCGGGATACGGTCCTTTGAGAACGTCGAGCGTTGCAAATATTAACACGAAGAGAGACCGGTGGAAGCTGTTTTACGTCTCAGAATTGAAACGAAGCCACGGTAGGATCTCGTTAGAGGAGCGTCCTTCTCTTCCTCCAGCAAGAATCCAGGTATTTTCCCATCCTTTTTCTCTCCTCTAACACGGAAAAGCCTTCTCAGATTTCGTTGTATTTTCTTTTCTATTCGAAGGGAAAAATAAGTGTAATTAATCGAAGACTCCATGGATAACAATTGTTGACAAACTTAATTGTGCATTGATTGTCGAAGAACACAGTTTGTTTCGTGCAAATTCTACTTACACGAAACACTCTGTATTTCTTACAGTCTGTGTGAAATCGATTTAATTAAAATTGGTCAACACGTTGACTGTCACTGTGATCATTCACATTTTTAAACATTTTTAAACATTTCTGAATAATACAAATGACCAGATGAACAAAAATGTCGAATAAAACGTGTGCTGCTCAATAAATTTCACTGTACAGTCGACGTGTTAAGAAATATTTAAAAAAAAACTAGCCACTGCAGTAAAATTCACAGATTTCACTCAGACTATATCTTCATCGTTTCTACGAGAAAAACAAACGATTAATTTATTCGTGTAAATAGCTCGATGGTTTTTGGCTGTATATACCTTAACAAATCGACTTCCTGTCTGAAAAAGGGGAAGCACTTGTACATTGATATTCGTGAAACAGAAGGATCTGATCGTTTTTTTTTTTTTCTTTTTGATATTGTATCGTATGTAGATCTCTGACAAGCCTTCTCTAATCGTTCGTTTCCTGTGAAACGTCTATGATCTGCATTTATTTGAAGAATTAATAAAACGAGAACGAGTCGTAGTAATCGACCGGTGACGGTTGCTAGGGTATTTTAGAAAAAAAAAAACGAGAACGCTCCGGTGTTTTCTCGATGAAAAATGCGAGAGAAAGAGTTATAGTTTTGTACGAGGGGAAGTAGAGAGAAGAAGAGCGTGTGTCTTTGATCTTTTTGAACTTTGCTGAAGATGAGATATTTTGCGGCCCGTTTGCGAAGTTTTATTAAAAGAGACGAAGTATATATATATATAGATATACACATAGAGGAATATATTTGTTACAGAAATGGAAGGGGAAAAGAAGAAGAAAACGTAACTTTGTTTCGTCGAAGAACGTGTTTTAAAACGAGAGTGTATGACTGTACGTGTGTGAGTGTGAGAATATTGTTGTATTTGATTTCGGCACGAGAAATGGATATTTTTTGATTCGACGTGATGAACAAGTGTGCGATTCAATTGATTTCAGAAGAAGATACATATATACATTGAAAGAAGAAATTGTGTCTTTCGTTCGAAGGACTTTGTATAATTGGACGTCTGTCTTTTTTCCGTGGAGACAGTGAGAGCTTAGTATTACCGCCAGAAAATATGTATTTTTCTCCCTGTTTGAGAATGTGTTACGATGTTCTACCGTTTTATGCAGTCACAAAAGATGTCTCGCGCACTACGAGTAAAAAGAAGAAAAGAGGCGAAGAAAAAAAAATTAAATAAAACGAGGATGTAGCGTACGTGCAATATATTTTTCTTGACATTACGAGCATACTACACGCAGCTGTATCGATTAAGTATATTTTATGTAAATCTAGCGACGTAAGTCCGTAAGTTAAAATAAAAGAATGTGATCCAACATGGCTGAAGCTGCGGAGAGGAATTATTTGGAGGATTGTTTAATTGGAAATTTTGATTTTACTATCGTGAGATTGGATAGTAATTTTGGAAGAATTTTGGAGGGAATATGGAAATATGGAAAACCAACGTTAAATTTTAGAGAGGATCGCTCAAGGAGTGTTTTTCTTTATTTATTGAAATTTTCAATACTCGTCTGAGAATTTTTCTAAAGAAAATTCTGGATTACTCAAATGTTCTTCATCCAAGCTTTTTCGTACTTAAATTATGGCAAACTGAGGACTGTCAAATTTTGAAGAGGCCATTCAAGAGGCATCTTTCCTCGTTCACTGAAGTTTTCATTTCTCATCTCAGAATTTCTGGATTACTAAAATTTCCTCCAGCCAAGCTTTCACCAAAATTATGGCAAACCAAGGACACTCAAATTTCGAAGAGATCACTCAAGAATCATCCACCAAAATTTTCATTACTCTACAACTTTCCCAAAGAATACCATGGATTACTCAAACTTTCTCCAGCCAAGCTTTCACCAAAATTATGGCAAACCAACGACAGTCAAATTTCAAAGAGATCACTGAAGACGCATCTTCCTTCACCCACCAAAATTTTCATTACTCCACAACTTTCCCAAAGAATACCATGGATTACTCAAACTTTCTCCAGCCAATTTTTACCCAAAATTATGGCAAACCAACGACACTCAAATTTCGAAGAGATCACTCAAGAATCATCCTCCACCCACCAAAATTTTCATTACTCCACAACTTTCCCAAAGAATACCATGGATTACTCAAACTTTCTCCAGCCAATTTTTACCCAAAATTATGGCAAACCACCGACAGTCAAATTTCGAAGAGATCACTGAAGAATCATCTTCTCCACTTCTCGTCTGACAATTTTCCCAAAGAATATCTCGAATTACTCAAATTTTCTCCATCGAAGCTTTCACACGAAAGTTCATCTCAGCGTACTTCGCTGATACATCAATAACCCTTCGAAGGGACAGTTTTTCCATGGTCTGGTCCGCAGGGTCAGCCGTTCCTTTCTTCCCTTGCAAGCTGACGCCAGCTAGACGTTCTGCAACTCTCTCTCTCTCTCTCTCTCTCTCCACCCCTGCAAAGCGTAACGTGGCGACGGAAGAGGACCGTCATCTTGGATCCCCCAAAAGCCACGGTGATATTGTACATGCAGCCGCTGCCCCGTCGACAGCTGGCTCCCTCGTCTCGTTTCCTAGCCAAGGATATCACGCTTTCGATCCCGGACTAAAAGTCACGGATTAATCGTTCCTCTACACCCTTCGCGATCGTCAACCTTGCAACCATAGGGCGGCTGATCTCGTTAGGGTGACGTTTAAATCACATTATGCAGACTGATCGGTTTACTTGTCGGTGGAACGGCTGATACCATCGACAACATGTTTTTCTATCGCGTTTTAGATCAGGCGATTTGTTATTTACTTGCTGCGTTTTGGATGATAGTCAGGTGACCGGTTTGTTGGACTCTTTTTTAAGTTTTTGGGTTGGTTCTTGGAAAATTGGTGGGTTTGCATTTGGTGCAGTGGATTGGGTTTTGTTGAGAGGAGATTGATCTTTGTGTCCTTTATAGGCAATTTAAAATTCCAACTGGAAATTGGAATTTTTTAATTTGAATTTGGACTTGTTTTTAAATTTCAATTTAAACTGCAATTTTAAATTTTAATTTAGACTGCAATTTTTATTTGAATGTGAACTTGAATTATTTAATTTAAATCTGAACTTCAGTTTTTAAATTTGTATTGGAAATTGGAATTTTTTAATTTGAACTTGGACTTGTTTTTAAATTTCAATTTGAACTGCTATTTTAAATTTGAATTTAGACTTCAGGTTTAATTTATAATAAATAAGAACTTGAAGTTTTTAATTCGAATCTGAACTTCAGTATTTAAATTCGATTATAAACTCGACTTTTCAAATATAAATCTGAATTTGTATTTTTTAATTTGTTATTGAATTTCAAATTTGCATTCCAAATTTAATTTGAACATGAATTTCCAAATTTGAATTTATTTCAGAACTTCTATTCGAACTTAATTCATCTTCCAATCT